ACTATGTCGGAAGAGAGGGTGAACCTCTCCTCCGTTGGCTTGTTGAACTCGACACTGCCATTGCGGCTCGACGTATCGTCGACCCGTTGTCGAAGGTTGCGTTCGCCATGTCATGTCTTGGCGGACGTGCAAGAAGTTGGGCGTATGGACGCCGACTCTCGGATCCTACGTGCTTTAGCACGTAGGAGGGTTTCAAGGAAGAGCTCAGACAAGCGTTTGAGCCCCCGCAAAACGAGTTCCGGTCGAGGGCGGAGTTTCTCGACCTGCAGCAGGGCAAGCATGATGTCCATACTTACGATCAGAGAGCACGATACTGGGTCTCTAACGTCGTGACCAATCCGATCGAGGCGACCAAGGTCGTCACGTTCATGAAGGGATTGAGAGGTGGGCCTGTGAAGACCTACCTCTTCCGTGAGTACCCGAGTACTCTCGAAGCTGCAATTACTCTTGCAATACAGGAGGAGTTTAGCCTGCGGCAGGCTAAGCTGCATGCACATGTGCCGAGGCCACAACCACGCCCGGTAGAGGACGGGAGGCCCAGAACCCATGGACTTCTCTAGTGCTCCAACTGCTGGACCCCAGCAGTCGCAGGGAAACAATGTGCGATGCTACCGTTGCGGTAGCGCCGGTCACTTTGCTTGGGAATGCACGGCCCCCGTGCACCAGCAGGGTGGCTATCGCGGCGGTGCCGGGCACCGTCGCAACCAAACAAAAACGCGGGGCGCCCTACTGGTAATGCAGTTCCGCGTGTCGATCTTGGACACGCGACACTGAGGACTGCAGCCCCCAGTGAGGTTCATTCTCACTGCAAGAACCAAGATGACAAACCTGACCTTGTCATCCTGAGCGTGAACTCGATGAGAGCAAGCAGCTCTCTCCGTGCTTTGGTAGATTCTGGCGTGTCGAAGAACTTTGTTCGACTGCGAAGTCTATCAAGGCTTGACATCGAGGATATAAAGATACCTCGAAGTATGTTGGAAGTACGACTGGCAACGGGTGCCGTCGTGAAGACCGAGAAGCGCATGGTACGCGTGCGCTTCACGTATGAAGATCAAGAGTTTGTCGAGACCTTTATTGTCCTGGATCTGGACGATAAGTTTGACGTTGTATTGGGCATGACGTGGTTTGCAAGGCATGATCCGGTCATCGATTGGGAGAAGCACACTCTTTTGCGCTTCGGTCGCGACAGCGGAACAGTGAGCGATGGCCCTGTTGCCGCAACACACGCACTGACAGGTGCCACGCGACTCCCCACTCGAGGCAGCGCCTAATGCCGCTGTCCCGGAGCACCCTAGGCGCGGGCGAGCACGCGCGCAAGAGCAGCTAGCGTCGGCGTCATGGTTGGTGTCGAAGTATTAAAGTCGCGACGGTTCCGGGAACCGGCGCTGCGAAAAGGAATTTCGCGTCGACTCCGGGAGTCGACGCACCCTTTATAATAAAGGGCTCCGCCAATAACAGGCGTTGAGGTGAGAATGGCGTGTCGGCTCCGGGAGCCGACGTTGCAGGCGGTGCGGACGGTTGCAAACGTCCCACACCGGAACAACTTGCATGCTGTCGTGCAGCCGGGCTGCACGACGAAGCGCCGTGAGACCAAGCCGGGCTTGAAGTCGCTCGCCCGCGGGATGTACCCGCCCGCGGTACTAAAGAAGAAAACCCGTGCACGACTGGGCCTGGACGAGGTCAAGAACCAAGCGGAGCCGGGCTCCGCAAAACAAGAAGACGGCGCAAGCGAAGGTCGCTGCACAAGTCTCGGCCCGGGGCCGAGACGCTACGCGGAGGCTGAGGAGCCGGACGTCGAGACGTTGAACGTCTTGACACGTACCTGTGCTGGATTCCGGTATAGGGAGATGACTCTCGCTAATCCTCCGACGCAAGCGTCGGAGTTGACTTTGCTTCCAGTCATGAGCTGGAAGCGCTTCGCGCGTGACTTGCACGATGGACGCATCGAGCAAAGATGCATTCTCTCGGACGCCGAGAGAACGAAGAGCGAGAATGAAGAACTGAGGCAGTTCTTCATGGAGAGCACCACTGAGATTGAGGACACTCTCAGTGCAAGACTAAGAAGGAGCGCTTTGAGGAGCAGAGCTGGGACTCGCTGAAGACGAGTCGCTTCTACGAGATTCTACGGGAGCACGCGGACATGCTTCCGGTAGAGATCCGTGTGGAGCTTCCGCAGGACAAGGGCATCCAGCACGAGATTGATTTCGTGCCGGGCACGAAGTATTGTGTCACGCGGCAGCGGCCACTGCCGCGAGAGCAGGTCGAAGCGATCGACGACTTCTTCAAAAGTTGTCGCAAAGCTGGACAAGTGCGGGAATCGAAACCCCCGCACAGTGCCCCGAAGTTCTGTGTCAAAACGCCACACGGCGACTGGCGCATCGTTTATGCGTACAACAAGCTGAACGATGCGACGATACCGACGCAAACACCGATACCGCGAAAAGATGCCATCATCGATTCGATGGCCAGGAGCACTATCTACAGTGCTCTTCATCTGCGCAATGAATTTTATCAGTTCCTCATGCGTGAGAGCGATATCCCTCTCACGGCTGTGAGCACACCAAGCGGCATGCTCTGGGAGTTGCTGGTGATGCAACAGGGTCTGAAGAACGCCCCTGCGACTTTCAACAGGTGCGTGACGCACTTGTTGCGCTCGGTGTGCGACTTCGCACCGAGCTACTTCGACGATGTGTTCGTCCACAGCGGGGCTGCGGACGGGATGAGCGATGTTGAGATGCACAAGGTGCATCTTCGGAAGCTGCTTGGGCTCATGCGTAAACACAAGCTCTATGCGAACCTGAAGAAGTGCATCTTCGGGGCGAGCGAGATACCCGTGCTCGGGTGTCTCATTGGGAAGAACGGTGTCCGCCCTGACTCTGAGAAGGTCAGAGTGATCAATGAGTGGCCGACGCGGTCGAACGTCAAGGAACTGCGGCAGTTCCTTGGCTTGGCCACGTACTTGTGCAAGTACGTGAAGGACTACGCGGGCATGATACGCCCACTATCACAGCTCCTGAAGGAGGACGTCGAGTGGGTTTGGATTGCTGAGTGTCAGCAGGCCTTCGATGTAGTCAAGCAGGGCTTGACTGAGGCGCCGCTCTTGGCGGTGGCCGACCAAGATCGCCCGTTCCACGTTGGGTGCGACGCATCCGACTTCGCAATCGGATGTGCGTTGATGCAGTACGATCACGAGGGTAGTGATCGTGTGGTCTACTACCAATCGCGTCAGCTGAAGCCAGCTGAGCCCAACTAGACAAGGAACTCCTTGCCGTGAAGTATGCACTCGCGAAGTTCCGAGTGTATCTACTCGGAAGCAAACCGTTCGTGGTCTATACGGACCACGTGTCGCTGCGGACGGCTGTGAAGTTGCCGCACATCTCGCAACGGATGGCGAGATGGCTCTCATTTTTCGCAGAGTATAACTTCCGGGTTGAGTACAAACCCGGACGACTCAATGTGGTGGCCGACGCGCTCTCGCGTCGACCTGACTACGCCACGACTGATGCCGACGTCAATGCCATTGACGCCATGCGATCGAGCACCCCGACGTCGTCACTGTTGGAGGACGTGAAGGTCGCGTACGCGCACGACGCGGACGCGAAGCTCTTGCTGGCCTACGGCTCAGCGCCTTCTGACAAAGCTCGTCAGAAGCTGCCGAAGCATCTTCGTGCTCGTGCACACCGTTATCGGGTGCACGACGGGTTATTTCTCAACAGTGCAGTCGACGACAACGCGGTCCGCGTTGTCGTGCCCAATGACCATGACCTGCGACTCAGGATCATGTATGCGTATCACGATGCACCGACTGCGGGGCATCCGGGCCGTGAGAAGACATACCTTCTTCTCACGCAAGACTTCTACTGGGCCCACCAGTATAAATGGGTGCGCAAGTACGTCCGTGCTTGCGAGGTTTGTCAACGTGTGAAGCCTGCGCCTTTCGCGCAGGCTCCCTTGCAGTCATTACCAACTCCACGGGAGTGTTGGCAGTCCATGTCTTTGGACTTCGTGTTCGGTCTTCCCCCGGACAGCCATGGGAACGCGGGCGTTGTGGTCTTTGTTGACCGCTTCAGCAAGATGGTACATCTTGCTGCAGTACCCGCTGAAGTGACTGCGAAGCAGACGGCGCGTCTGTTCGTTGACATGGTGTTCAAACACCATGGCATGCCGATCGACATTGTGTCGGATCGAGACCCGCGCTTCACTGCACACCTTTGGCAAGAAGTGTTTACACTTCTTGGGAGTCAACTTTCGATGTCGACTGCGGACCATCCGCAGACGGACGGGCAGACCGAGCGCGTGAACCGCGTGCTCGTAGACGTGCTTAATAGCTACACCCACTCGTTCCAACACTGGAGCGAGTGCCTGCCGATGACGGAGTTCGCCATCAACAACTCGGTGCATGCCTCGACCGGGCATACACCCTTTTACGTGAATGCCATCAGGCACCCACGCCTCCCGAGTCTACTCGGGATGGTGGCTCCTTCCTCAAGTGGGGGAGGATCTACGACTGCAACACAGCAGCCGCAGAATGCCGCTGACACTTGCACAGTGTCAGCCGCGACTACGCGCAAGAAGAACAAGAAGCACGCGTCTGTGCAGGGCACAGACGAACGCAGAGGCCGGGACTACTGCTAGAAACGAGCTGAACTAGTTCAGCTCGGACGCAATCAACTTCGTGCAGCGCACACAAGCCGTCATTCGGTTTGTCCAAGACGCTATTGCAGCTTCTGTTGATCGACAGAAGCTGAACGCAGACAACGTTGGCAGGGGCAACACAAATGAATTCAAGAAGGGTTCATTGGTTCTGTTAGCTACTCAAAACCTGCCTAAACATGCCGTTTCCGACTTCGGGGCAAGCAAGCTCGCTCCGCGCTTCATCGGGCCGTTCACGGTGTTGGCACGGCATGGCAAGGCCTACACACTAGATATTCCATCTAGCATGCGCGTCCATCCGACCTTTTACGTCGGGCGGCTGAAGCCATACCGGCAGCACGAGCCACCTAGCTCGGCTGGCCCGAAGCGGAAGCCCCAGCGGGAGCGAATCTCTGCTCCAGCACGTGAACGCGCTGGACCAAGCGTACGACGCGACCTCCCATGTGGACAGATATGTCCGACGCGGTCTGCGAACCCTGATCGACTTGAGGCCTCAGGATCGCCACCTCCTGCTTCAGAGCGGCGAACTCCCGGCTCTGAAGCTGCTCCACAGCAGCGACCCGCTCCTCGAGCGTCGGGCCAAGGTTAACCCCTGGTTGACCATACCCGGGGCGTGTTCCCACCACCGCCGCCTCCGATCCGCGACGCCCGCGGCTCAATACGCTGGATTGTTGAGCGTATTGTGAACCATAGTATCACGAAAACAAAGCGGCAGCCGGTTTGTTATCGTATTCGTTGGAGAGGGTTTCCGCTCCACCAAGATACATGGGAGCCGCGGGACGTCCTGCTGCAGGACGTTCCGGAAATGGTGAGGGCGTACGAAGCTCACCACGCACTACCGGCGCGAAGGTAGTGCGAGCGCTGTAGTCACCTGCAGCGCCCGAAGTCCCGCGATCGTCGCGTTCCTCGCGTGCCAGGAACTTGGCACGGAGATCCTTGAGACTCGCAGGTACATGAATCGTCGTGTACCAGTTTAGGTCGCGGTCGCTCAAGCGCGCTGCACCCTGAAGACACAACGTGCACTGTTGGCCTTCGGGCACAGCGCATGGAATACCAGAGTCCACAGAGGATCTGTGGAGCTGCTCCAGCCTTCCGCGCGTCGAGAATGTCTCGAAGCGTTCACGGGTATGCTTGACCGGCTCGCGGTAAGCAGCCGGTTTCTTGTTGAAGTTCTCAACAAAGGCATTCCAACTTTGACAAAGTGCCTGCTACTCAGGCACTTTGCTGCGAGAAGAGGTCTTCTTGCTGGAGAAGTACCGGAGCTCGTGGAAGAGCCCGATGTAGTAATCGGGCCTTTGATTCGTTAACGTATCAAAGTGCTGCTCCTCCGCCACAGCATCGTCGTGGATGCCGCTGCATACGTACAGCGGGATTTCATTTGGAGGCACGGTGTTGCCCACACGGTCTGTGATCTCTGATGCAGACGGCATCCACGGATCGCGCGCTGCTCAGACAGCGCGCGGAGAACTTTAAGACGCCACATCACGCGAGGAGATTAAAGCCCCAGCAGCAGAGAGTGGAGTTTCGCTCTCGCCGCGCGAACGTTTCGAGCTCGAAGCGTCCGAGTCGTCTCCTTCACGAGGGCGTCTCGACCCGCACGCCGGGTCGAGACTATCGCTGACGGTAGACTCCTTGCGCTTGCTTGAAGAGACGTCGCCCTCTTTCATCTCCACGTCGCCGTCCCCGTAGTCAACGGCGTCGTTGACTACAGAAGAACCTTCGAGGACAATCTCCGGCTGGGTTGTCCCCGCCGCAGCCATGGCAGCAAGAGCGTCACGCTTTGCTTTATGATGCTCTCGGTACTCGGGGATAGAGAGAGTCTCTATCCCGGCGGAGGTATGCCCCTCTGCTTAAGCGGCGGTCTTCTTCGGCAAGCTCATTGCAGAATGAGCTCAAGCTTTCCTTCTTGCAACGTGAAGAATTGACGAATGGTCAATTTCCTGATTGACGTGCCGTAACTCGGCGCGTCTAACCTTGAGGGGGGGATGGTGTAACAGGGTTACACGCACAAGTGACTGCAGTCACTTGTAACTCTTACAGACACGACGTCTGTTAGAGGTTCGAAAGACTTTCTCGACCTTGGTGTAGACACACCAAATGCTACATACATTTACGATCACCACGACGGGTGGTCCATAGAGACTTAGGATTCCTAATGGCTGAAAGCAGCATCTTTTAGCCAATGAGTGGCATGCATAGCGTTGGAATTCTCGTTGGCAGATTCCTAACTTAGATTATTACATTTAGAGGAAGTCAGAAAGCATAAAACAAAATAGCAGTTCTCATTTTAATCCAAACACATTATTTGGATTGTTTATTTAGATTAATCTATACTCGGAGGTCCGAGTATAATTAACTCTAGTTTAAACTAAGCTGCGCTTCCTCACACACGTGCGCACACGTGTAAGCTAAAGTAGTGAGCCAAAGTAGGACCATTACATGTACCGCGAACTCATCCGTCGCTGACGACTCAAAACAGCAGCACTACGAATGCAAAAATTCTCAAAACTCGGGCTGTGTCTCCTCTTTACAATGGTAGAAGTAGCTTCTCAATCCGACAGTTCGTTTTGAAGTTACGACCATTTTTCTGCATGCCTTGCTGGATGGACATTAAACCAGACCTCCTTTATTCCGGCACTTGAAGTTTATATATGGCAATGTGCCTATTTGAAGTTTTTTCGAGTGCCGAAATAAGCGACCGTTCAAAATTGCAGAATTCAAGCAGTGAACGATGGAGAAGCTAAAGCCAAGCGTCTCTAAGAAGCCCCCCTCGCGTAAAACCCCGTTCCAAGACGCTCACAAGCTGCAGTACGGACTCGAGGTCGTAGCGTGTGACGGTGGGGGAGCGGCTTGCTCGGTCCGCTGCCTGTTTTGCCGATATTTTGGTAGAGAGGAAGCACCCAAGGGCAAACGAAAGCGTACTAAAAATATTAAGTACAACAAGGCTCCTTTCCGACCCCAGAACTACATCGAGCACAATACTTCCGCGCACTCAGCTAAGTGGGGAGAATACACAGGTCTCAGCGACGCAAAGAAGGCTGTATTTTTTGCTGATCTCACATCTCGAAGCAACCAATTGGTAGCTCATTTTGACACAGAGAGTGCTGTGTTGCGGTTTTCTTTTCCAGAATTGATTGTGACTGAGCTGATTGGAAAAGTATTTTTCTATGCTGAAGATGAAGATGATGATATGACTGTTGCGAGGGCTCTTCGTGCTTTCGGCTCGGTAGTGGATGGGGTCTACACAGTGGAAATTAAGACGCCTCTGCAGTTTACTCTTTCGGTCAAACATCTCTCGGTTGGGTTGTCGTTTCGGCAGACGGCAGCAGTAATTCAGCAGCACTACAACGCCACAGGGAACTCGAAGCTTTACGGTATGACCGACGCTATGGCAGGCACTTATGCTCGTATTCTAGTTGCCTATTCGTTTCAACGCATCAGCAACCTCATCGCAGACCCCAATATGTGGGGGTTTGCATTCGCTTGCGACATCATAACCCACACCGATCGCTCTTTCATGGATCAGCGTGTTCGTGTTGCCGTCAACGGCGTGCTAGTCAACCTACACTTGCTCGCGGTCCCTATGTTTGACCGCCACACTGCTGTGGTCCAAGTTCACCTGATTGTTCGAGTACTCGATATTTTGTTCGCTAACTGGAGACAGAAGTTGGTTGGTATTTCATCGGATTGAGAGAACACTATGACAGGCCGTCATGGAGGAGTGGTCACTCTTTTAGAGAAAGAGGCCACCCACTCGGTGCTGAGAGTGTGATGTGCTGCTCATCAGATGGACCTGGTCATAAAAGCCGGTTTTGCAATTGTTGGGAATGGAGACTTTGTGAAGAAGACAAAGGATTTAGTTGTTCACCTTCGCCGCCAGAAAACGCTGATTACTGAACTAAGAGGTGTCGCCAAAAAACTAACTAATCGGTGGCTGTACATGGGAAACGCATTGCAGTGGATATTAAAAACCATTTTCGCCTTGAAGAACACCTCAATGAAAACGTGTCTGCGGCACCAACGCCATCATGGTGGGTCAATGCAGCTGTTGTTTGTGGGATAATGGTGGTGGTGAACGTCACGTTTGTCAAGATACAGGGGAAGGATGTCCTTCTCTCGCAGCAAATGATTGAGCTCCTTGTAGATCGCCTTCGCAAACTGCTACGAGTTGAACGCGTACCTAGCTCTGAATTCCAATATAGCGCTAATGACACGATTTCTACGAAGTACTGGCTAAAAGAGCAACATTTACTCGAGTTTATTCCAGACCAGGGGACGTTCGTCAAGAATCACATGAATAGTGCTGCAGATGCCGACAAAAAATCGATTCTGAGGCAGCTTGGCAATTTTGTACTGCATCTAATTGAAGGTATGGAGCATGTACAAGCTGAGCGAGACAGCAACAATGACGCTGCCGCATCTTTGGCTCCGCCAGTAATGCCAGCTGAGCTTGTCACAGTCCCTCCTCGCCAGTTTGCAGAAGATATTTTGAATCCTCGCCGCGATCAATTGGCTTTGTTTTGGAGTGAGGCAAAAATTGAAGCCGTTGAACGGGAGCATCGAGAGCTGTGTCAAGCAAATCTGCTTGATGAGCTGGTTCGCACAGCCCTGGAGGAAGCATCGTATGACACCAGCTTCAACGACGCCTGGGATTCAGTTCAAAACGCTGCTGCTCCAAAGACATTTTCACATCTCCGCCAGTTCTGCTGCGGATTGGCACCGTATCCGCGAATACGGCGTCCGTCGAATCCGATTTTTCCGTATTGAAGTGTGAACTGAACGACCGGCGCACTTCGTTGACTTCTTTAGCCCTTGAAGGCATCTTCCAGGCTAAACAGTTCGATATGCTAGAGAAATTGTAGTAAGTTGCATGCTTTATTTCCTTAAACTGGCACTGTGCCGAAATAAACAAAACAAGAGTGCCGAAATATAGCTAATCCGACACATCCCGGCAGGTGCCAGTATAAGGGAGGTCTGCATTAAACTGCTGATTTGGCCTACTTGTTAGACTGTTGCTTTCTGGTATTGTGTTACTGCGGCACTATCATGCGGCCGGGGGTCCATAAAGATTTTTTCCCGACTACAAGGCTTTATCTCAAGATGAACAAATGTTCGTCTGATCACTTACACCCCAAGCAAACGATAAATGCTGAAACAATTGTTGCTATTACAAAAAACAATTATTTATTACTGTCTCAAAAAGTTATACAAATTAAATTATCGATTATAATTATTATTTGATTATATTATATACTACTTTCAAACATTAGTTGCTCGATATATATATGAAACAAAATATAATTATGAATTGCTTGATGATAACACCTTGTTTAACTCACTTGGCTGATATCCTAATCTGTATCTGCATAAAAATAACATCGCAAGTGGCACAATAATTGTATAGACCACGTGAATAATGACACTTTGTTTAGCTTTTCATGGTTGAGATCCTTATCCGCACAAAACTATAATTACAAGTGTCACAACAATTATATGAACCGCGTGAATAGTTTAACTTCTCTGATTATTATCTGCAGATAAGCTTGTTTAGAATATGTATATGCATCCTTTTTAGAAAAATAACTGAAATATCGGTTATCAAACACATTTTTTACATAATGATACTATAGAATTACTACGTGAATTGTTAAAACAATCACGAAATCCAGTACATAAGATTTTTCATTTCTACTAACTCTGCTCTCCCCATGGCACACTGTCTGCTAGCATAGTTGATATCCATTCATGCACGTCGTACGGAAATACATTTTCTAGTGAGATCGCAGGTGGAAAAAAAAACTTCGCTGTCGCGGTGCGATCACCCACTTCTTAGACCAGGGTATTCACGAGTACGGATCCGGAAAGCCAAGCACTGCTTATTCAATGAGCACAACGCTGCATCCAAACCTTGGATGCATTCCAAAGTAATTCGAAGCTGTCCCAGTCTACATCAGACAGGGCCAGGTCAACCAAAGCAGTAACTACATGTACAAATTAAATATAGAAAATTCGAGAGCATGCTAGTGTTGATACCTTGTTTAACTGTCCAACCGACCCTACCTTTTAGTCGTAGGCGAGGCTGGAGCACTAAGTAACAAAATCCAAAACGCTCCATTATAGCCGCCAGACACCGTTGAGTAGATCAACAAGTTCAAACTACAGTTGTACGCATATCTGCTGCATTTCAGTTCACTTACTTTCGATACAGAGCTAACTTTTCTTTTGTTAACATGTCATCGCTAAAACGTTCATACAGTATCACACATTAGGGAGGTCAATGCTGCAACTAAATGTTTCGGGAAATCCAGTTCCGGGGGCCGTAATTTTGAAATAATTCTGTTTCGGTTCCCTTAACTAACTCAAATCGTTAACTTGGCTGCTACAACAAAATTATTGTGCACTTCAGGCACCTTTCCATGCCGGAAGGCTATGGGTATGCACTCCACTCGTTGCATCCCCCCGTAACTGTTTTATTTATCGGAATTCGACCAAATACGTATAGGCCGAAGGTCTTAGCCTGCTTATACGAAAGCAAGGTACAGCATTTCGCATGTAGAGAAACACACCCTATGTCATAGGTTTAGGTTAATTACTGCTCTCGAGCCTAAAAACAATGTAAAACCCAAAACCTGGGTAACGCGATCATTTCGTACACAAAATTGGCAAAATGATTGGCCTAGTCATGCGGATGGCGCGGAGCGATCTCCTTTAGGATGGCGCTTAAGCTAGCAACAAGTCTAGGCGTCATCTACATCTATGTTGCACAGGAACCACATCACTTAACCAATTATCTACAGCGTTGCTTCTTCTACTACCATCGCTGCAGCAGCCGTGTTGTGCGCTCTCTCGAGCTTGCGCGTTGTGGTTTAACCTCGTGCTCCCCATATCCCGCACTCAGGCGCGCCTCAACTGGGCCCACACCAGGCGTGGCTACTAACTATCACTCCGACGAGGCGTATCCAAGGGTGCGGGGAGGGGGCAGCGCGACGTTGGCGAGCGGTGCGCAGCTCTTCCCCTCTGCCTTCGCGCGCTTACAGGTGGCTCAATGTGAATGCAAAAAATGCGCAAAATAATCAAATTAGGGGTGTATCTCTCTACATGCGATCCCACGGACTTTTCTCTCGCATCTCTGATTGGTCTAAATAAAGGTGTATCTCTTAAACCACTGTAGCGCTCTACATGCGAAATGCGGCACTATGATCAATTTGGCACTCTGTTAGCGACAGCAGATCTAGTCAGGGCGGCCTGCATTCATTTCTTGAACCGCCCCGAAAATCAATTTTACACATTAGCGTTATTTAACGGACCCGAAACAGAAAGGTATTTCAAAATTACGGCCCCGAAACAGGATTTCCCCCTCTTTTTTTTTTTTTGCGGCGCGGCAGCAAATATTTTTTTACCCAATCAGAAAAAGTAACATTGGCCATCCTTTTTGCGTCGTGCAGCATCAGATCAATTTTTTTTTTGCGGCGATGCCGCGCCGAGCGGACAGGTTGCCTCTCGTTACCTAAGAGCAATAGTCGCTGGCAGGCGAGGGGGGTCACTACGGTAACTCTCCTACAACTCGACGATATCTCGTTGGGAGCAACACAGGTGTTGCTGGTATTTTATCGCAACTTATCTTTCGTGAAAATTGTCAATAGCTGAAAACATGACTTTTGTGATATCTTTATTTGCGTTTAGGTACCGTAGCCTCCCATTTTGTTTTACGTTAACGGGGAGAACGCGAAGCTGCACCAGCACCATTGTGTCGGCGATGGCGACGCACGGAGCGCAAGGGGAGGCGCCTGAAGAACAAGGTGCGACGCAGAAGCTTACGCGCATCCATGTCAGTTGCTAACAAGTTGTGCTGTAGGGCGCCGCGCGCACGGAGAGCAAGGGGGGGCGGAGAACAAGGTGCGACACAAAAGCTTACGTCTACCCATATCATTTGCTAACACGTTTTGTTGAAGGGCGTCGCACCGGCTTACGACCACGTAAGACCGTTGACTACCTCCAAGCCGCCCAAGGCTATACGAAAGACGACGAGGGCGACGAAGACTATGTCAAGGAGGAGATGACTCCGGACATAGAGGAAGAGATCGGTGTGGAGGAAGTGGAGAAGGACGACGAGGAGGCGAATGACACGAAGGTGGAGAGCGTGGAGGACGAGGAGGAGGTGAAGGGCGTGGAGGACGAGGAGGAGGCGAAGAGCGAAGAGATGGCGGGCATCAGCGCCATGTCCGCCGTCGAACATGCGGTCGGCCCGAACGAGCAACATGTGGACGATGATGACTTGTTCGGTGATGACGATGACGACACCACCGCCACGCACGTGACGGCCAAGTCGGACGGTGGCATGGCTGCTGCCGTCATCGACGATGATGACTTGTTCGGCGGTGAGGACGATAAAGATACGGACGCGGTGGCGGAGGACAACGACAAAGGCGCTGGCAGCAAGCGGAAAGTGACGGGTATGTTGTACTACGTGTTGTTTGCAATGTTTAGCGTTATTGTTGTACGAATGTCTATTGATGTTGGGGTGGTGTATTATTGAAATAGGTTTCGAAAAATATTTGTACGCGCGGCCCGGGAAGAAGCCGAAGCTGAAGCCGCTGTCGAAGCGTCGTGCGCCAGCCGTACGGCAGCCGCTGCTGCTTCCACGACGGCTAGGAAGAAAGCTACAGCACGAAAGCGCAAGGTGCTTCACCTTCCAAACGTGCGAAAGTTGGGAGGAAGGAAAACGAGCAGGCTGCTGTCACGTCAGCAAGTGACCAGCCGCCACCACGTCATCGTGAGCGCCGCCGCACTAAAACGTGGGAGGAGCGGTAGAAGATAGTCAACGCGCACAACGCAGTCGACAATTTGAAGCCACCTCTTGCCAGGAAGCCGTTCGCCAATTGGGGCGAGTTCGAGGCAGCGCTCAATGCCTATCAAGACGCGAACTTGGTGCTCTACTGCGTTCGGAGCTCGCAATCGAAAACGAACCACGACAGGTACGGGTTATGTTGCTGTTACAGTAGGGTGCTTCTATTTAAATTACTGTTGCTGCTTATGTTGTTAACTGTATTGTTAAGTCTACCAGGGGCCAAAAGCCCCCCGATCACTTCACCCACAAGTTCAAGGCGATGTGGTGCACCCACGGCGCTAAACAATCTTCGCGAGGTTAAGGCCTTCGGGAGAGTGGGCAGCGGTACACAGGCTACGAAGCGAGCTTCACTTTGCGCTATGTCAAGTATGTTGGGGAAGTTGTGGCAAAGTGGATGGTGTGCATCGACCCAGAGACGGAGGTATTGTTCGTATCTATATTTTTTCGAGGGCTTAGATGCTAACTTGTACAACTATGCACCTTGTAGATCTGCATGCACAATCACAGGACGCCAATACCATCTATGAGTTCTACAAGCGCGGCAAATCCCTGTCACTACCAGCAGCCGTTCGCAAGGACCTCGGTCTCATGGCCGAGGTGCAAACCAGTACGCCGGCGATCAACCGGTACCTGTCGGACAAGATTGGTGGGTGTTCTTGGTGAACGCTATGCAGTTGTTGAGTTTTTCAGTGTTCGTTTTGTAGTGGTTTTAATTTGAATTGGTATTAACATCTTTGTATTTGGGTTGATTAATATCTACAGGTATGGTCATCACCCCCCAGCAAACAAGAAATATCCTGCAACAAGTACTAGGGTCTACGACTATCGAACGGACCTGATTGCTGCTTGATACGTTTGCCCGTGTCGATGATCATGACGTTCTGCTGGTGCAGGATCAGATGGACATCACCTACGTCATTGCGATGCAAACCGCAGTGCAGAAGACGTGCTTCAAGCAATGTGCGATGGTTTAGTCATGGATTGGACACACGGGACCAACAACTTAGGCTACCATCTTGGTTTGAATTATCTCTTAGTATTTTCTATGTTACTAGCTATGATACTAATGAGATGATATTGCTTGTCAATCATTTGTTGAACGCGTACGAAGTCTTGTTGTGACGTCGGCAACTGGTAGAGGCATCCCTGTGGTTGACCTTCGCGCGCTGGACCAGAAGGGCGGGACCATGGAGCGCATTTTGGAGTTCTTCAAGCGGCACAACCCGTCATGGACATCAATTGAGACGTTCTTAATTGATATGGATTTTGTGGAGTGGCGAGTGCTGGAGAGAGTGTTTTCTGACGCCAAGATTCCTTGTGCCAATTCCACGCCCTTACGTACTGGAGGAAGGTGTGCCGAAGACCGAAGTACAACCTGACGATGTCTCAACGCGAGCAGATGGAGCATGCATTCGGAAAGCTCATCTACTGGTACGAAAAGATTGAATGTTCAATGTTACCTGCTATTTTTACTCAATGTTGTTCTATGTTATTGTGTTGCCGACTGTGTTGCTCGTTGGGTTGCTCTGTATGTTGTTTACCAACAGCAATACAGAGCGAAGTTTCAATTCAGAGCTGGACTCGTTTACGAAAGTCTGCGAGAAGGAATGACCAGCACTTCTGGAGTATTTTACGTCAAACTGGAAGGATTGCGACTCGATGTGGCCTAACTATATCCGGGGAAAGTACTTCGCTGCTGGAAACACCACAACCAACAGGATCGAATCGAATTGGAACCAAGTGAAGCTGCTTCTCGGCAAACGACCTCGTCTGGATGTGACTATTAGCGGTCTGTTAGCGCACCAGGGGACTATTATTCGCTAAGTGCTCGCGACGATGAGGAGGCACGTGTCTACATCTCGACACCCAGGCGCAATCCCTGACTTCTTGACACGCGTTTCGGCGCGTCTTAGCGACTACCCGTTGTCTAAAGTGCGCTCTCAATGGGACCGCTTTATGGTGTACCTGGCGGACACTAAGTGCACGAAGCTGGATGCTGTGGGCGAGTGGGAACTCAGTACTTGGAGGGATTCCTATGGATGCAACGACTGTGAATGGACGTGCACATGCCTATTCTATTGTAGTCATCACCTGCCATGTCAGCATTTGATGTTCATCGCTGATCGTGTTCATCGGTTCGAGTATCTACCTGAGTCGGCCGTCCCGCAGCGGTGGGGTATGGTCGCAATGTCCGAGCTGGAGAAAGAGCTTTGAGGTGGTACAGGCAGTTCAAGCGTCCATGAAAGAAGCTGGAGATTCCTGGGCGCATGACGGTCTGACCCAAAACGACGTCTTCCTGGATGAGTCCGAAGCAACACAAGGTGCAACAGAAGCAACACAAAGTGCAACACAGCCACTACCCAACATGAACATGATGTAGAAGCCGCAGAGAAGATTGGGCGTCACCGTCGAAAGCAACGTGGTGCTATTTACGTCAAGATGCGTCGACGAGAACGTGCCAACGTTGTGGTTCTCTCATCAGAAGAGAAATATTACTATGCTAAACCTGTGTTCGAGTCTGTGATGGAGCACCTAGCAGGATTGGCTACCCCAGCTTCCGTCGCAGCCTTGAAGTCCTGGAAGGACATTGTTCGAAGCGGGTTGGAGACCGTTGAGGAAGATTCTACTACCAGTCCTGACGAAAGCGAGGAATCCGACGATCCAGACACGTCTGACACCGCATCCGACATCACGCCGGCTGATTTAATTGACAGCATGAACTTCATCCAGGAGTTGGAGCAAAAAAATGCGGGGTCCGACAGCACGGCTTCAGCCTCTAAGCGAGAGGCTACAGCAGAAAACAATGAAGCAACATTGGCGGCAACATCGAGCAAGACTAGCGGGGCAATACTAACTAAGTCGACGTCAATGTCCTAGACTGCTCCTTCGCTTCTACCCAAAGCAACATCGCTCTCTACGCCGAAGCTGTACCCAACCAAAGCGGTGTTGTCCTCGAAGAAAAAGTGCTATCCTACCAAAGCTGCCGTACGTGTTAAAACGGCAGCAAACGTTGCAAGTAAGGGAGGGATCCTGGAGGTGCCACGTGTTCCCAAGAAACCTAAGGTGCGCCACACTACCCGAACCAAACTGAAGCAAACCAAGCTGCCCAAGGGGGCGAAACCTCAAAAGCTGGCTGCAATTGCGCTTCTCAGCTTCTTCGGCGGCGCGGCGCTGGGCCAGCTTCTCCAAGGCTTCAAGCTGCTTCTGCTGCTCCGTCTTGGCCTGTTGTAGGGCTTCGGACATCCGAACGTTGGTCGCCTGAAGTTTCTGGTACTCATCCTGCAGTCGAGCTTGCTCCACCTGGTTTTCGGCCAGAGCGGCACTCAATCGAGCTTCGAGAGCTCGGCGTTGGTTCTGCTCTGCATCAAGGCGTGCCCAGGCCGTAGCTTCACTCTGCTGAAGGGCTCGCCGGTAGTCTCGCTCGACTGAGGGCACCCGAAGTCGTCGTCCCAGCGAAGCCGATAACCGATGCGTGAACCGGAATCCCGTGGACTGCACTTGTCGGGTCTCAGCTTGCTTCTGGGCTGGACGCTTGGAGTCAGGACTGCCTGGCAGTGGTATCTGGGCTGGATGCTCAGGTTGATACGGCCTCTGCTCAGCTCTGGTCGGTACGGGACCATCCTGAGTAAGCTGAGGTGTGACAGAGATCATTATTCCCGGGAATGAGCTGCGGGACATCGTCGTAGCTGAGCCTCGCATCACCGCCGCCGTCGACATGGGCATGTGCGTCCCAGTCCCAACCATGTAGTCAGTCATAGACATCAGAGAGGAACCAGAGGAACTTAATCCAGACAGGTTTCCCCCTACATCGCGTGTTTAGAGTGGGCAAACATCACTATTGTGTGACGAAGCGCCCGTGCTTTTTTAAGGCTCAGGTTGCTAGACCGCTCGACCTTGGTCTTCGCTCAGCCCTTGCCCCACTTGGCTCAGCCCTGCTTAGCGCTGCAAGAGTTCCGCTCAGCTCCTTCCACTGAGCGAACACTCCCACTCCACTTCGCTAGGCTTAGCCGCTTGAACGCTTGGCTCAGCTCCGACTCGGGTCGGGCGAGGCGTGTGTTCCTCACTCTGCGATCCCCTTGGCGGTTCTTTTGATCACGGCTACGCTGTGGGCCCAGACTCGCGTCAGCCACACCAGCTGTTGTCGATGTTGAAGGTCTCCGGAGGTGTTCCCAGGCGAAACTCGCTCCCCACTTGGCGAGTCCCAGTCCGCACGTGTCCACAGCCCGAAATGCCCCGGGTTTTCCTTAATGAACACAACACCACACACAATATAGCATCCACTTCCTCTCTTTGGTTCCGACTCAGAACCACAATACCCCTTCTTTCCCGGTCGGCCTGGGTCTGGGCCGAGTTCGCCTTTATTTCTCTGAGCCTGGGCGAGGCTCGTACCAGCTTCTCCTTTCTTCTCTTCGAGTCAAGCAACGACCCGGTCTGGAGTTAGTGACTCGGTTTGAGCCTAGTCCGAATCCAAGGCACTCACACACACCCTGGGACTACCCGCGCACCAGGTCCACCATGAACCGATACAATAATCACACAATGCACCGGGGCACGCCAATATCCCCAAGCACACAATACAATTACCCTGCCTAAACCAGAGAGTGGATCACCTTCCACCCGAAAATATGAAATACACCCTAAGATGTAACGGTAATATGAAATAACCGTACTGCCGTCGCACCGAAGCACTCTGACAACGTTGATATGTTAGCTTGAGTTTGTGTGGATGATCGCCAAGACACCTTCTGGCCAAAGACCTCCACCACTTGCGTCCTTCGGGGCAAAACGAACTCTGTTTAAATGTTTACACATGCACAAACTAGGACTCACTAAGTGGGGGCGCAATATTCCCCTGGGTACACACTGACTGGCTGCGCGAAGAGCGTCGGCTGTATGCTTACCGGGCGCCCTTGAAGATCCGCCCGATATCCTTGGTCTTGGCCAATGCGGCGGCTCCACGTCGGCGAGCGTCGTCTCTCGGAGCCGCTGGAGGCCGTTGAGATCCGCTTGAAGTGTCCGCGATCTTGAGCAGTCGCACCCAATGTAGGCTGGCTCATGGCTGATTCACCGGATGAGTGTACTCACCGGTGCCACCAACTTCGCCGTCAGTACCACTGTCTGGACTTAAGTTCAGCGACTCTTCACCCGGCACTTCAACTGGACTCCAACAACTCCGCTCAGGTCTGCAACACTCCGCTCGGCTTCTCGACTTGAGCAAAGATTTTGAACATCGTATTCGAGGCCGGGCTTGGACTCCACGTCACTCCGCTCAGACCTTCGATCCTCGCCCAGCTCGTCGACTTGGGTGAAGGTCCCATGATCACAGTAGAAACCGGGCTCGGGCTCGGGCTCGGCACGACCTCGCTCGGACGCCTGCTCCTCGACTCATCTCGGCATCTTGGAGATGGCCCCACCACCGCTGGGGAGGTTGAGCTCAAACTCCACCCAGCTCCGCTCAGCTCCTCGACCCGAGCGGGGACTATAGTCATCACACTCGAGGTTCAGCTCAAATTCCGCGTAGCTTCTCTCTGCTTCCTGGACTCAGCTCAGGCTTGGGATATCCAACACCAGACATCTCGGGTCTCAGACGATCTTTGCTCAAGCCCAGAGTCTGAGCGGAGCTCCGCCCAGACCTCGGGCTCAGCTTCCTTCGTCGCACGGCTCGTGTCCGACAGTTGGTGATCCAGATCCATCGCGGCCATGACGCACTTGAAGTCTGCTTGATTGATACGGGTCAGCATCCTGGATTGATACAGGTCAGCTGGACATGGGTTCGGTGGCGAAATCCACCGAGCTTTTTCACAACCGTCCCTTATGACTGCCGGGTTCACGGAGTTCATTTCCGACTTGGACCTGGTGCCCATAACCCAGATGTCCCGCACTGCCTCGTCCCACAACCGTCCGATCTTGCCGAACTTGTGGAGTGTAATCCCAAGCCATTTGCGAAATTCCAGTCGAGCGCAGAGACCGCAGTGGCAACTGCAGCACGAGCAAGTGCTGCGCTTCTGCGGCCATCCACCTCTTCTCGGCTGCGTACGCCGGTTCCGGTACCTCGTGCCACGCATGGCGGACCAGCAGCAACACGACGTGCCGCCGGCAGACGGCATAAATCAAGATCCAGCGTCGCAGGGCGCTCTTGCGGCTCTCGCAACGCTCCAGGCCTCGTCTAGCGCGCCATTGGCCGTCTCCACCGCGCCCTCAGCTTCTGCGCCATTGTAAGTGCTGCTCACGACGTCATCGGCGCCGCTAGTGGCTGCGCAAAGCGTTCCCACGGCATCTACGACCTCCATCTCGGCGGGAACAGCAACGGCGACCTCGCAAGGAGCATCCATGGCGCCTCCAAGCATCACATCGGCCTTCAGCAGTACGACGGCCAGCGTTTCGACGCCTGCGGCCTCCTGCGCTCTTTCGGCAGCTTCTAGCGGCACGTCGACGACCATGGCATCCGTCACGACGGGTCTGGCGGCTCAGGCGGTGACCCACGCGGTCTCGGGTGGCGCCGCAGTGCTCATGCTACGCCCAACGCCCTCGGTGCCTTCGATCAGTGCGCTGCAAACGGCTTCGGCCACTGCACAGAGCGCACCAGTGACCAGCACCATCGCTGGACTGCTGCATGCTGTTGAAGTGTCACGCTACCGGACGGAGCCGAGCCAGTGTCTGCCGTATGAGCCGTGTCTCACTCCATGGTATCGGCTCACGCCTCCAGGGCAAGTCGTCGTACCAGCCACGCTTGACGATGTCCGCGATGGCGCACCCATGGCAGGCGCTCCGGATGGTTTGAGCCGTCTGGTGAACGTGACTTCGTTCTCAGCCCCTGAGCTCTCCCGCTTGAGCTAGCTCATGGGCCACGATGCCACCGGAGACTTGTTGCAGCCTCTCTCAGTTCCTCCGCCAGATATCACCGACCCTCGCATTCAAGCGGCCTTGGATCGTGAGATGATTCCCCTCGCCTAGTGTTTCGGCGTTGATCAGCTCGAGGCAAGGTCGCTCAGGACGGTGCAATGTCTCCAACTCACGGTGCGCTTCCTCCAAGGTCTCGAGCAGAGCGTGGGCAATACTTCAGCTTCAGGAGCAGCTGGGTTTACGGTGAGAAGCCACAGCTTCGCTCAGGCTCTGAGAAGTCAGAGCGAGGCTCACCAAGCTGAGCTCCAGCGCCTTCAGAGCAATCACGCTGTAGCACTTCAAAGGGCTGCTGTTGGAGCATCTAGCGGTCAGGTCACGAACACCACGGCTGCTGCGGAGATCCAAAAGCTCCAAGAAGACCTCGAACGAGCGAACAAGTTGGGCGCCCAATTTACCGCAGAGAAGCTTGATGCAGATGATGCCGTCGGCGAGGCTACACGGAAGATCACTTCGCTCGAGTCAGAGCTCACCGTGGCTCAGAAGCGCCTTCAAAGGCAACTGGCGACGCTTTCTCGAGTTGTTGCAGCTGTACCGGACAGGGCAACCCGCCCCGACTGGCTATCGCACCACGATCCAAGTTTCTGCGCGCGATTTGGACTTCGAGGATTCTGATCCGTACACGACCCAAGCTGCTCAACCCAGTACGGCTTCGGCGCCAGCCTCTTCGCCTCCGGGATCCGCTCAAGCGACCACGACTCCGACCAGCTCGTCTCTGCCGGCCACCCCTTTGCGCACACCGCCAATGCTCAGCCTGGGCAGGTCAACTTCCGCGGGGTCCAGTAAAATCCGATGTAAAGCGCTCAAGTCGCTGCCTCTGGCTAAGGCCTTGGCCCCGAGCAGTTCGAAGAAGGCTGGGGGACTGATGGTCCAGACGAGCACTGCGCTCAGCTCATCAGCCGCGCCGGAGACTGTGGACTTGACTTGCTTCCAGCACACCGAAGGCCATGGCACCAATGATCATGCCATTCACACAGCGAATTGCGCTGCCACACCGCCCGACCAAGTTTAAGCCTGAGCGCAAGAACGCCAAGAAGGAATCTCCCAGCGCTCGTTCGGACCTGGACGCAGCAAAGGCTGTGCCAAACCAGTTCAGCTGGGATGGTACTCGCCCAGACGTCCAAGAGTTCATGTTGGCTGGCGTGGCGTTCTGGGATGCAGTGGATGAAGTCCAGAAGGACCAGATGCTCCATGACCAGTTCGGCAAGAAGAACTTGATCTACATGTTGACCTCAGCGATGTGCTCGGAGGCTCTGGACGGCACTCCGTGGATGCAGTATGTCCCCGACAAGTACTTCGATGCAGCTGCGACCAGACTCCAGGCTCCCGGCCTGACAAGAATCCCAGTGCCCTGGCGGACCCTGCCCAAGAAACCAAGCGCAAGCGACGATGGCTCGGATTCCTCGTTCATGTCTGTGCTGTCCTCAGAGGACACTGATGGCAGCGACGGCGACCAGAGTTACCACGGGTCGAAGGCCAAGGCTCCCAGCTATATCAGCACCAGACCTCAGAGTTCCCCAGCAGACAAGAAGCGACAGCGGAGTTCGACGTCTTCTGGGGGCAGCTCAGTGACCAAGCGCCAGCGCTCAGCCTCAGGGACCTCCGTGACCTCAGCTGACCCTGAGCGAGACGAAGCTGAGACTCCTGAGGAAGGTATCGACAATGGCATCATCGAGGCTCCCAAGAAAGGAAGCTGGTTTCACAACGGCATCCGAGTCCAGAAGCTGCACCACCAGACGATTGGTTTCCCAGCTTACATGCCATCCAAGACTGGGATCGAGCAGCTCCACAAGCGCATCGAGTACGCGTATTATCTGGAGCTGCTCAGATCGGACCCCTGGGACGACATGTGGGATGGCCGAGTTGACTGCCTCGTCTACCACACGTATGCAGAACTCACTCCTGAGATGTGCGAAGCGATCGTCGTAATTGCTGGGTTTATGAGTGCTTGGCGTCAAGCGTATTGGGAGCGACTCCACTGGCATCCGTTCCCGTCCAAGATCGACTACGTTCAGCTCGCCAAGGAAATGGGCCTGCCTGAGCTGGCCACCGTTTACCGAGTGCGCAAGGACCGCGCCCAAGAGTTTGAGCTTCGTCGTAGGGACTTGATCGACCAGATCAGGGGCGTCAAGGGTTACTCGGATCGGATCTGGTTCGAGACCGGACTCTGGGCTGTGCCCAAGGATCCGTGCCACTGGATTCTCCGAGACCCAGATCTCAAGATCTCGCTGGCCGACCAACTTTTCACCCTGGACGACCAAGTACCAGTTCGCACGCAATGGGCCACCCGCCGCTCGGACAAGCAGTTCGAAGTGATCGTCCCGCCTGAGCTCAAGCTCAAGAGCAGAGCTGAACGAGAGGCGAACCCAATTATCCCAGCACCGGAGTACAACCACGACACGATTGCTGAGGTGTTTCGCGCTCTGGAAACCGTGCAAGACGAGGCGACTGGGGAAGCGTAGGAAAGCGAGCGTTCATCATTATTTCTAATTCACCACTCGTTTTGATACTTCTCGTCTCCTTCCTCATTGATCTCAGACCCCCAGCGCGCGTTCACCTCGCGCTCATCCACTGTTCTCCACGATAAACTCCAAGTCATTCTCCACATCACGTAGCATAGTCGTAAATTCACATAATACAAAGGGTTCACACATAGAATGTCACAGCGACATACACAGGTTTACAGCTGATGTGCCTCTACTGAGCATCGGGCTCAGGAGGCTCATCCCCATCTTGTATTGCTTGGAACCGTGCTTTCGCCTTGGCGCTCTTGTTGAACTCGTACAGCAAAGCTCCACAACTTAGCTGAGACATGGGAAGCCACTCAGTGTCAGGGTACCCCTTCCACTTGACCAAGTACTCCCGGACTCTCCGTGAAGGCCGGGTCCGCTTAACCCAGCGCACATCCTGGATGGCCTCCACTTCATACACATTCTGAGCTTCATCGGGTTCTTCAGCATCTTCGGGCAACAGAGCTGCGTCCAGATCATCATCCTCAGCGACTTCAACCTCAACTGTAGGTCGTTCAGGGAACAGGCACGCGGCTTGAGTCGACTTATGTGGACCCAAGGATACAACTTGTACCCAGTCCCTTCGATCTTCAGCTTGCATCGGAAGTCATCTGAGGTCTCCAGAATCCGGAACGGACCGTGCCAGAGGTGAGCGAATTTCTTCGTGAGCCCAGGTTGCACTCGAGCTAGGTACAGCCACACAGCATCACCAACTTCGAAACCCTTCTTGAGTCTCTCAGACAGCTCAGCCCAGATTTTTGTCTGAGCAGCCGAGCGTTTGACCTTGGCCTCAGCTTGTAAATCCTTAGCCCAGGCCTGAGCGTACTCGTACTCGCGCTGAGTCTTGCGATGTCACTCATAGGCAGTCCTCTGATCCAAGCCCGTCGGAGATGGTCCCATCATGGCCGAAACAGTGCTGTGAGGGCCCCAGCCGTGAACCAGGTAGAACGGCGTGTCGGGCCGGGTGGCGTCGAAGGACGTGTTCAGAGCCCACATCAACTTCTCCACCTGGTCGTCCCAGTCGCTCTAATCTGGCTCAGCGACGTACGCTCGGATGGCTCGAACCACTGTTTGCACTGAGCGCTCTTGCTTGCCATTTGCCTGAGGTCTGTACGCCAGAGTCACACGCTGCCGACTTCCCAGCATCTCGCGGAACCTGGCGAACACCTCACTCATGAAGCGTGGATCACGGTCATGGCGGAGCAGAGAGCTCGCACCAAACCTCTGGAACACACACTCCATGTAGGCCTCGGCGACATCTTGAGCTGTGGTCAGACTCATCGGCTTGCACATGATGAAGCCTGAGAATGCACACTGGAACAGGAGCAGGAACACGTTTCCACGGTCGGACTTGGGTAGATGCGTAACGAAATCCATAGAGATCACCTCAAAGGGCTTAGTCGCCAAAATGTTTCCCGGCGACGGCCCAGGGTTGGGCGGAGCTCCCTTGGTAGTGACACAATCCACACATTCCTTCACATAGCGTTCCACATCCGCGTACATCCTCGGCCAGTAGTACTCTCTGCGCAGTTGTTCGAAAGTCCTAGTGATCCCTTGATGACCACCTTCGAACTCCTCATGACTGAGCTGAAGCAAGTCATCCCTCAGCGCCGTTGAAACAACCAATCTCAGATTCCTTGCTGCGTCCCTGGGCCTTCCCGGAGTAGCTCGACTCAGATAGTACAGGACTCCTCTCGAATCAAGCGTGAACTGGTCCACCACCTTGGCCACATCTTCAGCTTCAGTAGCAGAGAGATTCCCCAAGTCTCCGTTCAGGTAATCCTTGAGCTTCTTCGTCCAGGGCTCAGCCTCCTGCAGAACTAGGATGCGTCGCCATCGTTCAGCGATAGGAGTTGCTTCTTCAGGTGAGTACACTAGAGCTTGCTCAGCGGGGGCCTCAGCATTCTGGTCGGGGCTCCGACACCTTGATCGGAGTCTTCCCTGGCTGCTGTGGTTTCAGCGTCCCTGACCCGAGCTTGGTTCCTAGTCACCACGAAGATCTTAGCGCTGGGCAACAGGGGCTTGGCAGCATACTCCAGCGGAGTTGGCTCAGCCACTACTTCCACATCAGCTTGAGTGTCAGGCTGCTCTGTCTCAGGTTCAGCAGGCTCAGGTTCATTCACCTTGATCAGCTTCTCCGGGATCCGATTCAGTTGTTTGAGCTGAACCAGCTCAACCGGATCCTCAATGGCGACAGGACCTTGAATCACCAGAGTCTTCGACGTGAGGTAGTCCGCAGCTGCGTTATATTCTCGCTTCACATGTACCAAGCGCAATCGTTGGAACTCTGGTCGAAGCGTCTCAAACTCAGCTAGCAGCACTTGCAGCCCTGGGCTCAGACACTGGATCAAGCCCTGAGCTTGCTGAATGACAATCCGAGAGTCACCGACCACCACAAGGTCTGACATGCCACGAGCCTTCGCCATGCGAACTCCCTCGAGCAGTCCATGGTACTCGGCTTCGTTCACCGTAATGCCTTCAAAGTGGAATCCTCGAGCTTCGACCGGGAGCTTCCACAGAATGCAGCCAGAAGCACCAGAGCGATCCGAAAGTTTGGCAGCTCCATCAAAGCTGAGCAGCCATCCCTCGTAGTCCGCTTCCAGCACCTCCAAGCTGATCGGTGGGGCTCGGACAACTCGTCCCTTGTCCGGGATGAGGTTCTCTGCGATCTTGTCCAACTGGTCACGGGGGTGATCCCAGCTCCCATGATCGCGGCCAAACCATCTTCATCGCGCTCGACCCTATGAACCTCCAAGGGCCAGAGCGACAGACGTGCAGCCCACTGCTCACAGCGTCCCTCTAGCGATCGAGACCTGAACAACCACTTCAGAACAGAATACCGGGTGTAGACCTTCAGCAGCTTGCAACCGCTCAGCATCGAGTAGAAAACTCTCAGAACCCGGAGCAACGCAACGACCTCCTTCTCAGCCGGGTGGTATCTGAGCTCCTGATCATGCTGTGACCTCCCAGTGTATCGCACCGGGAAAATGACTCCATCATACTCTTGGCCCAGCACTGCACAGACCGCCCAGGGGTTAGCGTGTAGAATAATCACGAACGGCTTCTCCCTGTCCGGGTGTCTGAGCAGTGGGGTAGAGACAATCTTTTGCTTCAGGATTTCAAACGCCTCCTTAGCTCGGCCGAGATCACGTCCAGCTTGGATCTGCTCATCCGCCAACTCGTAGAGCACAGACGCTACAACCGGGAGGTCTTCAATAAACTTGTAGTAGTAGTTGAGACTTCCCAGGAATTTTCAGCGTCGTCGGGAATGGCAGGTCCTTGACTCCCTTGGCGATCTTCGGCTTAGCTCGGATTCCCTCAGCTCCAATCTCATGCGAGAGGTAGGAGATAGACTTCTTGCCAAACTCACTCTTGGGCAAGCTTACTGAAATTCCCCAGTACCTCAGTCGATAAAGCAACCGATCCAAGACTTCGCACATCTGGTCCCAGGTCTCGGCTCCATACGCGATGTCGTCGATGTAAGAGCTTCGTCCCAGAACAGGACTCAGCTGAGGCGGGGCCGGAATGTTTCGCCGGAACACGGTAGTCTCCTCAGACAGAGGCGGGATTTCTTCCTCCTTAGCGGAGTCGTCCACCTCGATTCCTAGGAACTCCAGCACATCCGGATCAACTCGGGCCTCCTCGCAGGGCGGAAGTCGCACGAAACCCCACAGACAATTATCGAGCATCTGCTGGTAGATCAGCGGGGCGTTCTTGAGACCAAACGGCATGCGCTTCCACTGGAAGTGTCCCAGCGGACAGATGAAGGCTGAGATCAGCTTGGCCCGGAGTGTCATCGGCACTGCCCAGAATCCGCTGGCCATGTCCAAGCTCAGGGACCACATCGCTTCCTCAAACCCGATCAACAGATCGTCAATCAAGGGCATAGGGTAGTGTGAGAGCTTGATCAGTTGGTTGACCAGTCGATAGTCGATGCACAGCCTGATATCCACACCGTTCTTCTTCATCACAATCACAATTGGCGAAGCCCAGTCTGAGTGCGAATACTCGATGAGCCCAGTCTCCAGCGACTTCTTGATCAGAGCAAACACCTTGTCGAGCAAGTGCGTCGGAACCTGCTGAGACCTCTGAGCGATGGGCTTCGCATCCCCTGCATCCAGATCACAGACAACTCCATGGGCGGGGGCCGGTACCGCATTCCCGTCCCCGAGAAAACTGGCGCGATGTCTTTCCAGAATCGCCCGCACTTGAGCGTCCATTTCTGGAGTCATAACGCCGGGTTCTCCCACGTTAGCCGTTGAGAGGTCCGCGTTTGGACTGAGGTCCTTCAACCCCGGAAGAGCAGCGAGCTGGTCCCGGAGGTCATTCAGCAATTCCGTGCCTTCATGGAAGTACAGCGTAGCTTCTTCGGCGTCCTCACTGATCTCAACTCTGAGACAACGAGCATACGTTTCCTGAAGACGAGCAATTAGATCAGACACGAAGTCGGTCGGCTCAGCCCTGACCACTCGCTCCAGCTCATTCCGAGCTTTTTGGGCATTCATACCACCTCCAGCAGGAGAGGTTTGTGCTGAGCTTGACTCCGAGGAACTTGGCTCAGTCGCAGACTGAGTGTCAGCTCCCTCCGATGTGGTTCCTTGGCTCGTCCCTGACTGCACATCATCCGGGTGAGACGATCGCGGCAGCGGCGGCTTCCATGAGACAGGACGTCCCAGATGTGTCCGGGCCATCTTGACTTGAGCGGTCTCAGGCGACACCGTATTGGTGGCGTACGCCTCAGCTCTCCGATGCTTCATGTTGGCTCGGACTTCCTTCGGGTCATCAGACTGCTTCAGCAGCAGCAGCTTCATTGGTCGCTTATAGGCTGGCCTCTCCACAGCGGGTGGGGCATTGAGCTCAGCTAGCCGAGCCGCTTCCTCTTCTCGTCTCAGAAAGTCTGGAGAGGGCTCGGCTTCGTAGATGAGCTGAGCCCATTCGCTGTACTTCCACGA